CACGCACAATCCCTGACGGGGTAGCCAGAGAGAACAGATCGCCAAGTGTCACGATCCTTACATATCTCTTAATATAATATAATATGAATATACGATGTAAGATCGGCAATATAATTAGGGGCATAATATTCTTTGTATCCATATGTTTTATAAAAATACAGATAAAATAAAAAATAAATATAATTATAAGATTCGAAGTATTTACCTACCTATTTAAAATTTCTTTTAACGTTAACGGATCCTTTGCGTAGTAAAAGCTAAGTACAGCTTCTGGATATAAAGCAAACCAGACAGCCTAAGCCTAATAATATGATTTTAGATGATTGTTGATGTATATAATATACTTACTTATCTTCACGCACAATCCCTGACGGGGTAGCCAGAGAGAACAGATCGCCAAGTGTCACGATCCTTACATATCTCTTAATATAATATAATATGAATATACGATGTAAGATCGGCAATATAATTAGGGGCATAATATTCTTTGTATCCATATGTTTTATAAAAATACAGATAAAATAAAAAATAAATATAATGGAGTTAATATAAGATTCGAAGTATTTACCTACCTATTTAAAATTTCTCTTAACGTTAACGGATCCTTTGCGTAGTAAAAGCTAAGTACAGCTTCTGCATATAAAGCAAACCAGACAGCCTAAGCTTGTTTGAAAGCCATGAAAGCCTTAGATTTCTCGCTTTTGAGAAGTATTCTATTGTTACCGCTTTCCGCTATACTAAGTAGTATAGCGGAAAGCGGTAACAATATCTACCAGAGTATATATTAAAATGATTAAGCTGCTCCGCTCATTGTACACAATATTTAATAGTTATATTACGTGACTCCATGTGCAGCAGTGGACTTTTATGGGCTAATGAAGAAGGTAGATAAGCTCGCCTTAGAACTTCTTGGTACGAAAGCAAACCGTGAATAGTTCCGCCGGCGTTAATTAATTGTTAATTTATCACGTGTTCGGAAAGAAAAAATTATATATTATAATAATTGGAAATATTTCGAGGAACGAGAACGAGGACATGGGAAAAACACGTCAAACTATATATTATATGTAAAATATAGGTCTAACTTAATTTTTATTTTTTATGAAATGAAATACATATATACATATTATATCTTCCACGTTAGAAATTACTTTTGATAAATGTCATTTTTCCAAAACGTTATGAGGTTTCTCTGAACTCTGACCGAACAAGACACGGTGTAAGAAACTTAGCAGATATCATCTATTCCAATAGTATACAATATATAATTGTATAACATATTATAGACCCATGGATAATGTTTCCAGCAACGACTATGATAATAATAATAATAATCACTAGTCACCTGGACTTAAATTAGGTGTTGTCGTGCGGTGATCGTGGGAACAAGGAGCCACTTCTCATTGGCGCGGTCGTTCTCAAGGTGCAACCGTTGGAGCTTCTGTAAATCTAATGGCTTGCGATAGTGATGGTATAACCATACCGTTTACACCAGATGTAAAATACCAGACCGGTGATGGGCAGCAACGTCAAAGGTGCGACACGTATGATACTGCGAACGTCAGTTTCCCTACCAAGCCTGACGAAGAAATCTAAAGAAAAAAATCTTCCCTACAACCAGAGAGGCCCACGTCCAGCAGTGAATTTGTACGGGATGATAAAGAAGGCTAAGAAAAAATTTCATCCCTGAGGGTGGAAAAATTAGGGACTTAGTTTTTAATGTAGGTAACTACATAATATTAAGGCGACTTTCTAGTTCATCGTAGTTGTTACCTTGAACTCGTGATATTCCTTAGTCCACTTAAATGGATAAAATAATTAAACTTAAAAAGTAAACCCGACTTCAAAGACAAAAAACATTTTTTGAAGTCTGTTTTACTTTTTTTTTACGTTTAATTATGTAACGTAATACTCGTGGGGCAATAAACAATAACAACGGAACGGAATAAATAATGAGGATTTTTGACGGAAACTTCGTCGGCGGATTGCTGCTCCAGTTTTATCGTTCGAATTTGGCATAAAGGGGATTTTGATACGTAAAATTGGTGCAATTTTGTGGATTAAGTGTCTGCGCATGTAAACTATTATTGAAAACAATGTTACAAGTGTTGGATCGTGATAGCAAATCTCAGGATTTTTTATTCGCTGAGGGGCATTGAGATATTATAGTCATTAACTGTCCGCTGTGTTAAGCTGTTGCCAAAATCTCCCTAGTATTTTGTAATGTGCCGCATCAGCAAAGTTTTGTGAACAAAAATACCAATCAGACTAGGACGTATGTTCTAAGACCTTTGCCTGCCTTCGAACGACGATTCGAATAGTAGCAACAACAAAACTCGACACTCGACAAAACTCCTCTATTTAAATTTAATATTCTGAGAAAACTCACACAAAACTTAAATAATTTTTTAAATAATATACGATTTCTCTGAAAGGGTTACCCTCTCAGAAATGAGAGAAGACCTATGCCTAGCAGTGGGACGTATGTAGGTTGTAACTTTACTTTAACTTTTATACGATATCTCATCTCAAATAGAAAATAAAACGCTAGAGCTAGGTAACCTTTTGTTTGTTGAAGGAGTAATAAAAAACTAATGCAACACTTAACTCGTAAAATGATTTACTCTAGAAGCAATCTGAAATGCCTTTCGTTTTTAATGCCTAGATTTATAGAACACTTTACTCCTTTACACCTTTCCTTTTGTGCAGCACATAAAATTGTGAAGGCGTTACTGTCGTTTTTTAAATTTATATATACGTACATACTTGTTATGCATTATGTTTAAGTATACATACATAATACGTCATACATGTACTATAGAATACACGAAAATACACGTAAATGATTGTTATACCTACGTACAGTATTAACGTACTGTAACAACAAATAGGTTGGTATGACTTAAACCATTACCATCCCGTGGCTGTCGTAAGAGGCGACAGAGAGAAACAAACCAGGAGACGGGCGGCAGCGTCTTTCCGATAACAAGTAAAAATATAAAATACTTCAACTGTGGCTGTGTCCTGGACACAGCCCCGAGTTTTAGTTGAATACGTGTATGTAACCTCAAATTGGCGGCGCTCCCCCATCCTCGCGATGCGTTACAGTCCTCACTCAACGTAACGAATTCTTTGATCTTTTAGCTATTGTGTGGTGTAATTAAATTTTTGATGTAGATGATAGATATGTTGCTGCAACACACTGGAGTAGCGTGCCTTAGAGGGGCCCTGTATGAAAATTTGTCGGGGGGCCCAAATGAAGGGTAAAATTTTTTTACAAAAGGAACAAAAACTCTCGTATTAAATTAAAATAATTAAATATTGATTATATGTTATTACTTACAATTAATACTCCTAGGAACTAAGCTAGCCAAACAATTCAAACCAACATCCGGTCCCATAGAAATCCTTGGAATTTTTGCTTACATAGGCAGCCCGTACACACTCAATCTCGATTGCAATCACACAGTTCTGATCGCGATCATGGATCACGGTATTTATATTCAGTCTGTGTATCGTAACCGCCGCGTTAACAACGTCTGTCGTTTTGTCATATTAAAAAGTACTCTGTGGTCATGAATTTACATGAGGTTAAAGCTGTAGTATCACTTGTTTTGGTCCTTACTTTGAAGAAAAGGATTCGAAAAAGGCAGTGGGTTAAACAGTGGCTACCTAAGAGAGTAATGTACACTCGCTTAAATCTACTAAAATAAATTCAATTAATTACTGAAACTGACGATTATAAAAACTACTTCAGCATGGGGAAAAAATGTTTCGATGAGTTACTACAAACTCCATATATTTTTTTATTATATTTATATTATTTGTATTATATTTATGCTGGGGAATCCATAGCTCTGTTAAAGTTTCCAAAAGTATGATGAAATCTTCTGGTTTAAAAATGAGGTAATGAAGGTGAATTCGCCGATTCAATCGGCGGCGACGGAGAGCGCGTTTCATCGACGCCCATTTTCATTGAAGCGCACAGCGAGACTGATGCGATCCTGCGCTTACACGTTCAATCTAGATCACGATCAGCGGATTGCGATCTTGATTTCAAAATATCTAGATATTTTGTGATCAGATGCATCAATCCATCAATCTAATTCGTACATTATCAATCTGGATCGCGATCATTGATTATGATCACCGATCGCGATCGAGATTGAGTGTGTACGGGCTGCCATACGTTCGGGGCCTCTGTAGCCCGTAGGCGCCGTATCATTGATACGGCTGATACGGCGGTAGCTACGCCCCTGCTGCAACACCAAACTGTATCCCCCGATTTTGTGATCATCAGTTTTATGAATTGCCTCACACAATAAGTCAATTTAAATACGTTTTCAGGTCAAAAATCTGTTCACGTCATAAATCAAAAATCACAACAAAAAATTTAAAAATTGCGATTACGTATCCTCGATTAAAAATCTAAATATAGATGCGTTGTTGTCGTCTTTGAGGACTAAGATAAAGTGCCTTATTACCATTAAAAGGGTCTCTGGCTCTCTACGCTCATCATACGAAACACAGCCGCATTAAGCTTCTATATTACGCTGGTATTTTGTGAGAGCGTGGCCCTTCCCTGGACGAGCTCACATATTCGTGCTGCAACCATAAACAGCGTAGCTCTACCACGTTAAAAGTTATTGCATAGTTATTCCATAGCACTTATAGCTATATTACAGTAGAAATAGTCCACGGCATTCTCCACTAGTCACGAGGATCCAAACATAGGTACTATGCAGTAAGATAGCTGTATACTTACTGTCCATGATATAATCATCATCATTAAGTGCCAATAACGGAATGACAATGTTCACCTGATCAATTTTTACAGCATCAACAATTTTCCAATGCTACTTGTACAGAATGCAATTGAGTACTCTGGTCACTAAGCTAACTTGTTATAACCTCCTAACATGCTGTTACAAATATGTATTGATTATGGTTATATTAAAATAATATTTAATTTACCTTTAAATTATTTTAGACTTAACACCATGACATTACGATGGGTGTGGGCGCTAATCGCGTTAACGATCGCGTGCGCTAGCAGTGAACGCGGGAACCGAGGTTCATCCCTACGTGGTGCACTAGAGGCCCTCCAACGGCGGCAACGTGGCCGTAACCACGGTTCCATTATACCGCAACCTGATTACGATGCAGTATACGAATTTGTTCCACCACAGGCTTACCCAGGTTTGCGTTCTAACTCCTATTTATTTCATATAGTGACAAAAGTCTAAACTTTTTGTTTTAACAAAGTAATTATAAATATAGCTGTAAATATGTAATAGTAAAATTCATTATGATTTCAGACCCTGATTATGGCGTGGATGTCGAAGAAGTTGAGGATGAACCCACTCCAAAATACGTCGTCAAGATTTTAAATGAAGATCAGAGACCGCTAGAAGATTATGAATATAAAGTAATTAAGAAGAAAAACGCCTATTTTGACTCACCAGATTACGCCTCGAAAAAAGAATCTGCATTTCGTGAAAGAAGTCAACATATTGACAGTGACACACTTCGAGATATATTCACGGACACCAGTGAACTTAATGACAGAAACGATTTTATGCAAGAACGAACAGAAAATGATGCTGATTACGTGCAACTTCTAGATCAGCTATGGTCCAAATACAAGCATAATAAAAATAAACTACGCACCAATAATATAGATCCTCCTCATGGTATTGTCAAACTTTATAAAGAAAAAATTGTCAAAAAGAGATATCCAAATAATTGGGGTCCAATTGCTTTTAAGAAAAAACGTAATTCTGATTTTGAAGAAGATGATGATAATTATAATGCATATAAATTATCTGACACTGATAAAGATGATACGCACGCACATATTATGTCTTTTCAACCAATGGATGATGATGGATTATCAGGTATAATAGACGAGGACCAATATGAAGCGATTGAAAAACGTTTTCCAGTTTCTAAACGTAGCAGTGGGCCGTATTATAGCTCTCAGAAAAAAAGTTATACACCGGATCAAAATAAACGAGAGATATCTAAAAACCTAAAAAGCAATTTAGGAACAGATCCGAAGGTTTTAAGAGATTTGTCAAAAATATTCGGGGAAGGCGATTCCGATTTTATTAAAACCCCAGTAAAAAGAAGCAGCGATCATGATGAAGCGGTCCATGAAATGTTACCACCAAACTTAACAGTTTTAGCCCAAAATAACAACAATTCGAAACTTGATGAAGACAGTCATGAACAGCACGGTGGCGCAATTCATCACCCAGGATTGTCTGGAGAAAAAATAGAGCACGACTCTGACCATGATCATCACCTCGATCATGCACACGATCATGACCACGCTCATGACCATGCCCATGAACATGATCACGCCCATGACCATGATCACTCAAATGATCACGCTCATGACCATGATCACTCAAATGATCATGTTCATACTCACGGCGATATGCACACCCATGAACACGATCATGAACAGAAACACATTCATGACCATCTTCATTCTGATCAAGGGAAATCGGAAAAACCAATTACTCTTAAAAAGAAGTCTATAGACTGGTCCGATTACTTTGGAATTGATAAACGGTTTAAAAAATCAATATCATTTGTAAATGATTTGGATCAAGACAAGTTGAAAAAGCAGTATTTTGTCACTTTTAATAAGGAAGTTATTAACCCAGTTAACACTTTACAAAAACATGTTGACGTAAAAAGAAATTTTATACAACCAAAACCAAATCAAGGAACAAATATCGAGATAAAACGTAATCAAGCTATTGGCTTCCGAAATAATAATAAACGTAACAGTGGTTCAGACAACGACAACGATTCAAATCTCGATAATATTGACAAAAAATTAAGGAACATGGAAGGCCTGATTGTTGATGACGCTTTACACATTTCGAACGTTGGTGAAAAACTAGATTCAAAGGAAGAACAAGAAATGAAGGAAAAATTATTATCACGTCTGGCTGCAGCATATAGCCTAGAAAAGATGAGGAAGGCGTTAAAAGAATTCAAACAAAGTCTACAAACACAACAAGCGATTAATATGAAATTAAAGACTGCTAATGAAGAATTAGAATCTAAAAGGGTTGCAGTGAAAAAGGAGAGAGCCCTTTCAACAACCAATGATGTATCTAATTATATTAAAGAGGATGATAAAAATGATGACTTTGAAGATGAACAAGGCGCCGGTCACTATTTGAACGGTAAAATTGAAGAGCAGCTATCTGAAGGTTACATGGGTGGTAGTGGACGACACCGTATACCTATGGTGTCAACTGGTAATTTAAATTAAATTTAAATGTTTAAAACTGTGACAATTGCTATGTCAACTTATGTATGTTTTTGTCTGTTACAGTTAGTTCCACAGGACCATGTCCGGTTCTTGCAAAAATTATTCAAAGATGCCGTGGTGTAGATTTACTGGCCGGAGATCGAGGACAACTCTTCCTTCCACATTGCAGTTTACATCAGATTTGCTACTTATGCGTATGAACTTTGTATAGTTTTTAATTCTTTTATTTCTGTTTCCTTGAATCCATTATAATTAAATTCATATTTTTAGGGCGAGGCTCCACCGACGACTTGCGACTTAGTTTTTCTATCTGAAGCGGATACCACTTGCGAAGGTGACATGAGTTGCCAGCGTGCGGCACGGTCGGCATTGATGGCACTTCGAGAATTACACGACAACCTTGCTGATGAATTGGATGGGGAATGCGAAGCCAGCCCATGTCTTCCAGCGACATTAAAACTTAACATCGGTTGGCAAAGAGCACTTCAACGATAGACATTCATTCAGGAATATCGAGTTTCGATTACTTATTGATGGCACGAGTGGATCTATGCTAGAACTAACATTTTGAAAGTTTTCTAGCTGGTCTATGCTCGAATATGAAACCAGCTTTTATTACATAATTACTTATTATTAATTATGATAATTGTATATTTTCTTAACAAAAATAAAACCACCTACTCTTCAAATTCAATCAAAAATAAAATAAAATGTAAGTCATCGTAATTCAAAATTCATCACCATCATGTTTTTGAAAAAATCCTTACGAATCTAACCAGTCACAGACACGGATCACAGTGATGCATAATATGCTAATTATAATTTAACATTTATAAAATGTATGCGAAATCCTATGCTTTCGTTGTTATATGTAATTTTAAACTTATAATGTATTGCGCGTTGTAAGTTTTACTAGATACAATTTTTCCATTTGTATCTAAAAAAAAAATGTCATCTAGCAGTATTAAACTAAAAAAATCTAGATCAAAATACGATGCTCGAGCATTTCTTAAATTTGTAGATGATGTTGATGGATATATTAAGATGGTAAATTTACCGTTGTTAAATATTTACTTACATAACTATACAATGAGTGTTTTGAGTGTGTCAGTGTAAATTAAGGATAAACTCGTATTAAATTATTATTATTATATGTACTTAAATGAATGTAACTTCAAATGCTAGCTTTATAAACTGCGAACAACAGTCTATATATTATAAAAATGACAATTTCGTTCCTTAACTATAAACATTGATAATAAATATTATGAAGAAATATTCGGTATGAAATAGTATAATTGTCCAAAGCTTTCTCAGACGCTTTTTGATTGTGATATGGTCCAGAAAGAAATCAAAATGTAGAAGAAGGGACGAGAATGTAGCACAACTTAGCACTAGTGCAGCAATTTAGACTATATTAGGACAATAAAAAATATTTCGCTATCATGTGACTAATTTGTCATGAGTAGGCAACACCTTTAAAACGAGTAAGATTTCCATATATAAAAGTCTTCCGAACCAAAACTTGGCACGGTCAGTCACACTATTATCTTCTTCTAAAATTTGACCCATTTCATTAAAATATTATCGGAAGAACAAAATATTTATTTAAAATTATTTACAATAAAATACGATCAGTCCATAAATGATTGGTATGGATAATAATTTAATTTATATAATATAATAAAATTTATACTTGAATGTTGTCACTCTATTCGTATAATTAAAATCATAATAATACACTGATATAAATGGTTTACAACAAAATTTGTTTCATTATGTATCGATTTCCTATCCACCATCTTCAAGAATAGCTGTGCAATTGTGGAATCGTTACCGGCCTTATGTTTATTTTACATCATGGTAACATTTTACATTAAGGAAATATTTAAATTAAAAAAGACATCGTCTTATAATCAATACTGATGTACATTAACACAATACAACAAAACCAAACGTTATTCCCACCAGAGTTATAGACTGTATACAGATAAATTGTGTAAATCGAACTGCTGAATACTGAATACTTCTGTCACTGAGCATCTGTCTACACCTACATATATTTATATTTTATAATAATTATAAAGAGGAAAGATTTGTTTGTTTGTTTGAATTGAATAGGCTCCGAAACTACTGAAGCGATTTGAAAAATTCTTTCACCATTAGAATCCTACATTATCCCTAATGAACATAGGCTATATAATATTTTCAAAAAAGTTAGGGATCCGTTTGTAAACGTCGTTAATGTAACCCAAGGTGTGAAAAAAATACCAAAAAGAATCCTTATATCGCGCACGCTGCGGTAACTATTGATAATAGAGCAAAGTAATGTACTTCAGTTTTATAGAGGATATCAATATTTTTTTTTTTTTTACTTCTTATAAGCCAGTGCTTGATCACAATCCCTCGTGGTGGTAAGTGGTGATGCAGCCTTAGATAGTAAATCGCACTGTCTTATCGTAACAAAAGCCTATTCACTCTTGCCTTGAAGACGCCCAGATTGTATTCGGACGAAAAGATAGACGCCGGCAAATTATTCCACTCCTTTGCTGTACGCATTACAAAAGACGAAGCAAACCGTTTGGTTCTAATGCGTGGAATATCGACAACAAAGGGATGAAGACCCGCCGACCGTCTGGTTGTCCGATGGTGGAAAGGAGAGGAAGGAGTTAAGGCGTGTAATTCCTGCGCACACTCACCGAAAAAGCCTGCTATCAAAAAAGCCTTCTACAAAAAAACCTGCGATACCATATATTTAACTATTACAGTTATGTCACAATAACTACTTTTTCATGTTAAAATATGAAATAGTAACGGCGGTACAAACTAGGCGACATTATTCGTATCAGTACCTGTACCATGCATAACCACCAATTACGTTAACCATGTAATTTTAGTAACATATTTCACATTTTAAATCTTTGTTAATTCAGCAACCGTGCGTTGTGATGTCTCTCTCGAAGTTCGCATGTCGCAAGGCGTAGACGCGTGATATACGTGGGTGAAACCGCGGTGCACAGCTAGTACGCGATATTTTAGTTGCATTCACTCATTAGCTACAATGAATATCAATCAATGAATGAAACTAGTTATTTAAATATTTCCGACCCGACACCTCCTTATCTGAAGCTTTAAATTATTCATTGCTATGGTGAGCTACAAAGAAAGAACCTTTAGCATCTTGAAGTGTAGCAGTGGTATGCTTGGGTTTAGATTTAATTTTATTAATGATAGAAAAGAAACTCCAGCAGATGTTAGAACAAAGCTATCTTCTCTATTGAGATTAGGATGTTTCGTGGTTTTTTTTTTATAGCATAAGAGTCCACCTGATGGTCAGTGAATGCTGTGGCCCATAGATATCTACGTTTATCCTCTATTAAGAATCAAAATGCAGATTCGTTGTCACCCCTCACGACTAAAATAGAATGTCTCGGAAAACCGGGTCTCCTGTTCTCTACACTCACTATTTCATGTGGTAGACAATAGCAATAAGCTGCTATTTTACGCTGGTATTTTGTGAGATCGTGGTCCTACCCCGGTTGAGTCGACCCATTCCTCTTACAACCATAATATAGCTGCATCATGGCTGTAGCACGTATGGTGACTTTTTTATAGGTGAGGGGACAACCGAGCATGCGGCTCACCTGTTGGTAAGTGACTACCGCCTCCCATGAACAACTGCAACATCAGGGGAATTGCAGATGCGTTGTCGGTCTTTTAAAAAGGAGTAGGCTCTTTTATTGAAGGTCCCTAAGTTGTATCGGTCCGGTAAAATCGCTGGTGGTAATCGATTCGAAAAGGAAGTTGTGCGATGAAGAAAAAATCTTCTAAATCACACAGTGACTGAACGAGATATGCCGGTAAGTATTTATGAGATTATGCGCATAACAAAATCCAGCCATAACTTACCATCTCATAAAACAGTGGTCAGGAGACGGCCACTTGCAGATAAAAACGTTTTTTTTACAGAAAATTATTTAAAGAGGTTTTCTTTAAAAGAAAGATTTCCTTGAGCTGTTCAAAGTTGAATTTATAACTAGATTTGCGCATATCCTGTTATTCCAAGTAATTCATACTCCAACAGACGTGACAAAAAACTGTTTTTAAAATCTTCATTATATTAAATGAAAACGAAAATCAAAAGTAAGTATACTTAATGAAATGTTTTTGATAATTTCCTCCAGGACGAGTTTCGGTCATGGCGACGAGTCTTAACGGAGACTAAAGAATTTCGTAACAGAAAAACCAGCGAGGCAGTCATAATATTTTTGATGCCTTACAACTTGGACCAACAAAATAAGCGATAGGGCGGTGCGTACATTCAAAGTGACGGAACTAAAGCAAAACCATCTCAACTGATTGTAGGAATACTCACTTACACACATATATGCACCTAAAATCATTTTGTGAACTTTCACAAATGTTAAAGAAAAAATATTTGTACGAGAGTGCGTGTAAAGAAGCATAGCATGGTTGCATTGAACCCTAAAACCATTCAATCTACGATTCAGCCTTACAATGGCTAAGGGCTGAATTGTTAATCATAAGATAAAATAAATTTATAGGATAAAATACAAAGTAAGTAATTAAAGAAACTAAAAATTACAGTTGTATAAATAAAATAGTTCTATTGTTTCACATTTATATTCAGTCTGGTTAAAATTTATTTGATGGATAACGGTTGAAAAAGCCAGTCTTAAGTAAAAAGCAAAAACATAACTTGTAAAAAAAACAAAGTCTCGCAATTCAGTTCTTCTATCGTAAAAATTTGTGAGATCCATGTAATACCAAGTCGTTTAATTTATTCAGTATCTACTTAAGGATATTTCTGTCTCAAGTTATTACGAAATTAGCTAACCTAAGAACATCTTATAGTGACCATATTAATAGGTATTAAAAATCTTTTATGTTTTAAATACATAGATTGACTTGACAATCTGATCTGATGAAATATGTGATGAGAAGAACCCATTACTGTTATGTAGGTACGTAGGTAGTTAGCGAGAATAATCTTATAAAATTTCAATTGCGTGGTCTATGATAATATCTAATCATGTGATGTGGGATTCTATAAAATAAAAGGAATTTGGTGAGTGTTCCATTACCTTAAAAGTTTGGGTACCCCTGGTGTAAAGTATATCAACGGTTCAAGATAACCACTAGAATGTGATCTAAATAGTTACATTAAAATCTTCATCCCCTACTTTACCACATTTATGAACAGAACTTTTCATTTAAATTTATGTGGTAGTCCCATATGTAATATTCCCCGTGAGTATATTTTATTTAATAAAAAAAAGTATCATTCAAATCGGTTCAGTCGTTGCCGAGTAATCGATGAAATTATATAAAAAAAAACATTGCGTGAAATATAGAACCTGACATTACTCAACCAAATAGTAATCAAGTATATAAACCTAGTAAACGTAAAAAGGTAAAACATATTAAACGGAATATTGCAGAACGATATCAAATCGAAGTCGGGCCTATACTTATATACAGTTTACAATGTCGATAGTTGTGCTACACTGATAATTCAGAATTATCTACAAAACATTGATAACTAACAAACCGGACAACGCGCATTCGGTGATAAAGTACTGCACTGAGGTACAAAAAGGGTCACATACATACCGTGAAAATAAACAGAAACTTGGTATGGCTTCAAAGAAGTTTGAACAAAGGAATTTTGAAGGAATAGACAATCCTGCTGCTACGGAAGGTAAATACTTTCAAAAGTGAATCGCGAATGAAATAAAACATTAACTCAAATATATGAGCGAACATGTAATATTGATTGTAATTGTAAATTATTAGTAAATATTTTATTGTCAGTTATAGCGGTTGTATAGAACTGGAGAAACACCATATTAATGATAATTTATATAAAATGATTGGTCTAAGAATCTTACAACAGATTTTACAAAAAAATATTTATATAATTTTTCATTATAAATAACACATAACGAACCAAGTCCAGTCTTTGCAGATTTATTATTAATTATTATATATTTACTAAATAGAATGAAGATTTTTGAACATAATTATTTTGTTTCCTACATGTTATGGCTTCTGCTTTTATTATTTCAGATAACGGAAATAATTTAAGACCAGATCTCGTAATAAATGTACAGCCTAGATCTCCAGGTATGTTAAAATTATTTTACGCTAACGATTGTTGTTTCTTGTTGGCATTGCATTATTAATTCGACGACAAATGTGAAATACCAGAAATAAAAGTAATAAATAAAACAAATCAATGTTTTATACGACTTCTGAAAATGCCCATATAAGCTAAATCCTTTTACTTATTCGGATTCAACTAGTATTTTTTGGAACTTTTAAATAATATTTCTACAAAACCAATTTATTTTACTTTTACCACTAGACCGAAAAAAGCATTCGTAAAATTAATAAAATTCATTTTGAAAACATCATTGGCATGTGTCCGTGAACTGCAATAGCAACTTGATGGTAAGTGGACTTTAAGTTCGTATATCACTTCAGTTTTACAGTACACCTGATGGTAAGTGGTCACTACAGTCAATGGTCACCTGCAGCCAACTTCAAAGAAAAAAGGCTAAATCATAAGGTCGAATACTTCCCAGTGTGTACTACTATGAAGGTAACAAAAAGACGGCTCCCAACCCCCGGCGGCCCCGCTATTCCTGGCTACGGTGGCGACCATGGTAACGGCGGGGCAGTGGGTGCTATAGATAGACAAGTTGTGCTGGAATGTCATAGGATTATCCGAAGTCCGAAGATTTGTTCTATCACCGGGAGGGCGACCATCTGTCCCAAGGAGGTGTCGGATTTATCATCCACAAGTATCTCGTTAACAACGTTGTAAAGATTGGGAGTGTGTCGACGAGGGTTGCGTACCTTATACTCAGAATCACCAAAGGTATTCGCTGAAGGTCATACAAGTTTACGCACCAACCTCGGCATACCCCGATGAGGAGGTGGAGGAAATGTATGAGGATATCTCTAGAGCCATGCATTCCTCCAAAACCCACTATACGGTGTTAATGGGAGACTTCAACGCAAAACCAGGCACAAGAGAGAACGGTGAGCTGAAAGTAGGGAATTTCGGTATAAGGCAACGGAACCCAAGGGGCCAACAGCTGGTCGACTTCATGGAAAAAGAGGGACTCTTTATGATGAACTCTTACTTCCAGAAGCGGCCCCACAGGAAGTGGACCTGGTCGAGCCCCGACGGTTCGACAAAAAATGAGACTGACTTCATTATGACGACCAGGCGACAACTGTTCAGTGATGTCTCAGTGATCGCGAGGGTGAAAACAGCCAGCGATCACCGAATGGTGAGAGGCACACTGAACCTAAACGTTAAGTTGCAGAGGTCACGTTTAATGAAGACAACGCTCCGTCCCCCTCGTGCTCTAATCCAAAGTCCCGAAACCTTTCAGCTAGAGCTACAAAACCGTTTTCAGTGCCTAGAAGATTGTAATGCAGTGAACGATATGAATGACAAGCTCGTGGAAACTGTTCATGCGGTCGGAACTAAGTTTTGCAAGACCCGCCGCAGAAGAACACAAAAACTCTCCGATCACACTGAGATGAAGCTACATTCTTCAAAAGATTTGACAGCATACAGGCAACTGAACAGACATATCTCCAAATGCATGCGGCGGGACTTACGCAACTTTAATAGAATAGAATAGAATAGAATGATTTTTATTTAATATGGATTATTACATAATACTTATTGAAAGTCATTATTTTATTTACCACTTGTACGAAAATACCTCTGTCCTGGGAAGAACCAGCAAGAAACCCAGCGGGACTTTTTTTTAAACATAATTTCACTTAACAATAATTTTATTTATACAATTTTAAATGAATTTTGATAGAACCAGCATGGTGACGATCACCTTATTCCCAGGGGTTATTTTCATTCATGTATTCCTTGATATTATAATAACCCTTTTCGTAAAGTTTTTCTTTAATAAAACTTTTAAACTTGTTTATTGACAAACTTTGAACATGTTCTGGATTTTTTTTGTAAAAGCGTATACATTGCCCCATAAATGAATTATTAATTCTGTGGAGTCTAGTAACTAGCATTACAAGCTTATGTTTGTTCCTAGTGTTTAAGATATGAACATCCTTATTCTTATTAAAGCTATTTATGTTTATATGTACATACATTACATTTTCATAAATATATTGCGATGGCAAAGTTAATATGTTTATTTCTTTAAATTTTTCTCCGAGGGACTCTTTACAATTTAGATTATAAATCGCCCGTACGGCTCTCTTTTGCAAAACAAATATAGCTTCAATATCAGTCGCATTACCCCACAGCAAAATTCCATAAGACATTACGCTATGAAAGTAACTAAAATACACTAACCTAGCTGTCTCAACATCTGTGAGACTTCTAATCTTTCTTACAGCATATGCTGCAGAACTAATAATAAATAATACTGCTCGTATTAAAGAAGCGATCGAGCGGAACCAGGGCTCCAAAGTCTTTGCTAGAGATCTGTCTGCCAGAAAGAGCCAACTGTCGAAGCTGAAGACCGAGTGTGGCAGCGTCGTTTCCGGGACACCTGAGTTTTTGAGTGAGATTGAGAGGTTCTATGGGCAGCTGTACACATCATCGTGTACCACACGTAAGTGTGAGTAACGATCCAAGAGCGAGTCTTATCCGACACTATTCTGATGATATCCCGGACGTCCGTCTGAGCGAGATTAGAATGGCTCTCCAGCACCTTAAAAACGGCAAGGCCCCAGGCGAGGATGGAATTACAGCGGAGCTTCTGAAAGCGGGTGGAAAACCGGTACTTGAAGTCCTTCAGAAGCTCTTTAATTCCGCCTCCATGGTGGCACTACACCGGAGGCGTGGAGCAGAAGTGCGGTGGTCTTATTCTTCAAGAAAGGTGACAACGCTCTCTTGAAGAACTACAGATCGATTACCATTCTGAGCCGCGTCTACGTGCTGTTTTCGAAAGTCATTACGAATCGTCTCGCGCGCAAACTTGACGACTTCCAGCCTCCTGAACAAGCCGGTTTCCGAAAAGGCTTTAGCACCATATACCACATACATACCCTTCGGCAAATTGTATAGAAGTCCGAGGAGTACAATTTGCCACTATGTCTGGCGTATGTGGTCTATGAGAAAGCCTTCGATTCCGTCGAAATTTGGGCGGTGCTGCAGTCCCTTCAGCGATGCCAATTTGACTGTCGGTATATCGAAGTGCTGAAGTGCTTTTACAGTAGAGCTACGATGGCTATCAGAGTACATAACCAGAGTACGAAACCTATCCAATTGCAGAGAGGTGTAAGACAGGGTGACGTCAGATCCCCGAAACTCTTCACCGCTGCATTGGAAGACGTTTTCAAGCTTCTGGACTGGAAAGGATACGGTATTAACATCAATGGCGAGTACATCACTCACCTTCGATTTGTCCTTATGGCAGAATCGCTGGAGGACCTAAGCACTATGCTCAATGACCTCAATAGTGTTTCCCAACGGATAGGTCTTAAGATGAACATGGACAAAACAAAGATCATGTTTAATGTCTATGTCACACCTATTCCGGTAGATGTTGGGGACACTAAGCTCGAAGTTGTTAACGGGTATGTTTACCTGGGACAAATAGTCCGACTAGGTAAGTCCAACTTCGACCGAGAGGTCAACCGGCGGATTCAACTCAGTTGGGCAGCGTTCGGGAAATTACGGCACATCTTCTCGTCAGGTATACCTCAAAACTTGAAAACAAGACTGTACAACCAATGCGTGTTACCAGTGATGACCTATGGTACTGAGACGTGATCCTTCACTGCTGGCCGGATGAGGAAGCTCAAGGTCGCTCAGCGAGCTATGGAGAGGGCTATGCTCGGAGTTTCTCTGCGTGATAAACTTAGAAATGAGTATATCCGCAGTAGAACCAGAGTGACCGACATAGCCCAACGAATTAGTAAGCTGAAGTGGCAATGGGCCGGCCATATAGCTCGAAGAACCGACAACCGTTGGGGGAAAAAAGGTTCTCGAGTGGCGGCCTCGTACCGCCGGATGATGTGTAGGGCGGCCCCCCACTAGATGGAGTGAGTATGCTGGTAAGATATGCAGGAAGTCGATGGATGCAGGTGGCTCAGGACCGTGCTTTGTGGCATTCTTTGGGGGAGGCCTATGTTCAGCAGTGGACTTGTGAAGGGCTGTAATGATGATGATGATGATATGTACTACTAGTGTCTAGAGATACCCTTTAGACCGGAACACAGCAGTGCATGCACAACTATTTTGTTTTTCTTTTTATAGGAGTGGAGGCAAACGAGCATACGACTCATCTGATGGTAAGTGACTACCGCCGCCCATGAACAACTGCAACACCAGGGGAATTGCAAATGCGTTGCCGGCTTTTTAAAAAGAAGTGTGGCACAAATAGGTAAGAGGTGATACCTAGACAGACTTCTAGGCAGGAAAGCAGTCCTACCACCTAGGGCTAGCACACGTGTATCTTGTTCTTTAACCCTTTTTATATTTCAGAAAATGGTCGCGCCGAATTGCCCGTGAACACAGTAGACTGGCAATCACGGAGTCGGGGTCAGTTCATCCCTAGGCATGGTCTAGATTTTCTCATCGGTGTATCAAGTCTCCTTATACAGCAAACTGTTGAGTTGAATGATCGTTAGTAATTTGATAATATCATAGATCTTTCGTGTCTTGTTGTGTGTTGTAAGAGAGTCCATCATCCCATTTCGTTCCGAAGTTGTCATAAGAGACGGCTCTCGGAAATTACTTCTCGGCAACTACTTATTACAGAAAATCTTTTTCAGTTCTTGGATTTAAACTTTGGAAATCCTTGAAAATAACTATAAAACTTGCTTAAATAATAGATTCCTAAAAAAATAAGTTAAGAAGCATTATTACTTCTAAATTCCCTCCTCTCCTTTCATCTTTTCCTGTCGGTTTATATTATATACTAGTAAGAGTGACAAATGAGCACCCAGTACTGATGGTAAGTAAATGCGATCACGAATAAAAATGCGTTCTCATGTGGAGGGGGAAGGCGGGTTCGACCTATTTATGGAAGTGATCCCGTCGTCGGGATCAAGAAAAACGTTCTTGGGACGTCTCATGCGGGGGGCAGCATCCCTCTCTGGGAGTGCGAGCCCGCCTCAGTCCAACGGATTGTTATGATCTTTGATCTAATTGAAGTATCTTAAGGATAATTCCTTAAGATACGACTGGAGAGCCGACCCATTTGTGCTACAACTATAATATAGCTGCAGCATGGCTCTACCACGTATAAAGTCTGACATATGTAAATTAAGTGATGTTTTAGGTTAAAATTTTAGATTTAATATTATTTATTTATAATACATACACTCTACCAATTAATTAATTTTACACTTTTTCATTTGTTTTTTGTAGTTTATTTGGAAGAAATTGCTTTATAGCTATACGAGCGCCTTATGTTTTTTTTTTTTCAATGTTTGTTACTTATGTTATTTGTTTTATTAGTATACAATGAAGGGTATTGTACTATCTTGTCTCTATTATTATCTTGTGTAACGTGTAAATACCCAGAACGGTGACAGGTAAGCTTGCGAACTGTCCCGGATTTTCAGGGACGTCTCGCATCTGGATATAATTTGAGCCGCCTCGACAAGTGCCCTTGACGAATGCCTATCCCAGAAATCATTGAACAATAATTTAAATAACTGTTTGAAAAAGTTAGTAAAAGACAACATTTTAAATTTAAAAACAAAATAGAAGAACATATGATTATTTCAAGTCTTATTATTTTAACAATATTTAAGAAAACGTTTTAAAAATTTTTTTACGTGGTTGAGCCGTGCTGCAGCTATATTACTGGTATAGTTTCAGCACAAATAGGTCGGCTCGAACGGGATAGGACCACGCTCTTACAGAATACCAGCGTAAAATAGCAGCTTGCTGTGTTTCGTATGTGAGTATAGAGAACCGGAGACCCTTTTTACTGGACACCAGGCATTCCATCTTAGTCCTCACGGGTGGCAACGTATCTGCATTTTGATTCGTAGTCGAGGATAGATGTGTATGGGCCACAGCAACCACTTAACAGCAGGTGGACTGTGTGCTTGTTTGTTACCCCTATCCTTTATTTAAAAAAAAAGCAAAAATATCATCGCACTGTTTTACAATTCATTTATTACACCGCCCCAAAAATTCATGACTGAGCAAAAGCCCCGCCAATAGATTCCCCCATAAGGATCCTCATTAAAAATCAATAACTTAATTAATATAATAAACTATCGAACAAGATCAACAAGTGGGTAGTTGGCTAAACAACACGCTTATATTTTGCTCTTATTTAAATTTTAAAGTTTAATGTTTTCTGTTATATTTGTGTAATTTTCTTGATAAATTATAATGAATAATTAGTACCACCTCATGAGTGTTTTTCCAAGTTCATATACTTGTACATAATAGCATATATCATAACTGGCACAATCTTTTATTTTCTCTTTATCAGTGTCAATTTATAACGTAAATGGAGTCTTCAATCAAGGAGAGCATGGCCGACCTAATGGAGGTATTCCATAAGAGAATGACTAACTTTGAAGAACAGTTACGTAAATCTCCCCAATCAATATCCAACACGGCATCACTTGCTGCAGAGTTCACCTCATTCAAGGCTTTTGTGGTCCAAGCACTGAGCAGTCTACAGCAGCAAATGGAGCTCCTGGCTCATACTGTTGATCAGTAGGAAGTAAGGAGTCGCAGGAAAATGCTTTTATTTCATGGTGTACCAGAGACCTCAAAAGAAGATACTGCACTGGTTGTCACAAGAGTTCTTAATGATCAGCTGAAGATACGTGACTGCTCAACCAGTGATATACGAAGGTGCCATCGGATGGGTCGTAAAGCTACCCCAAACAGACCACGACCTATTATTGTAAAGTTTCAAAACCTGATATTACGTGATAAAATATGGTACTCCAAGACTCAGCTTAAGGGATCAGGTGTCACAGTTTCTGAATTTCTTATTAAGTCAAGACACGATGCATTCATGGCTGCTCGAGATAAGTTTGGAATTTCGAATTGCTGGACTAAGGATGGATCTGTTTATATTCTCAGGCCTAATGGTTCTCGTCTTCGGGTCCTTACAGTGAGCGAAGTTCATAAGACTGACCAATGCCAAGATGCCTCAGCTAAAGTGATTGAAAAGAAACCAGCATCAACAAAGACCAAGAGAGGGGCCACAGTTAAGAAATGATTGTGATTGTGCTTTATTACTTTATCCCTTTTTTAATGTACTTAGTATATGCAATTTTTATTCTAAACTTTAATTTTAAATAAGTCTCGCTGTAATTAATTTACACTATTTTAAGCTAGGTGATTTTATTCTGATTAGCACGTTATTAATTGCCTTTTCCGTTGACCCGATCACGTGTAGCAATTGTTTCATATATATTATTATTCTGTTTATTAGTTGCTACGCTTTTAATCTTGTGCGGGTAAAAGCGGATTAATTTTTTGACAATATGAATACATTTTATGTTCACGCATAGCTTACTGTATATTTCCCTATATATAATGTACTCTGTGCTGTACGCCTAAGGGTATTAGTGTTCTGTGGTGCTGTATATAAACTCGTGCTGGGTGCTGTTTCTATTTTTCCACAGATTATTAAACATGTAGCAGCTACTTTTAATTTTTATTCTTTATTTCGTTAGTTTTAGTTAGTGTCACATCGGCTACAAGTCTTTCAGCCAAAAATTGTAGTACACTGACAACTTTAATATTTTAAACTTTGTCAACGTAGATTTATTAAAATAGTCATATATAATGTTAAATAGTTTGTAAGTAGTGTATTTGTGTAGCGATATTACCTATATTGTATTTTTTTTCCTCATTTTGTTTATTTTGAAATCTTGTTTTTTTTTGTTTTTTAATTCTGTTATAATTTGTAATAACACTCGACTGATGGGTGGGCATGATTGCCTTGTTGTAAGAAGTACATTTAATTTAGTAGTTAATTTTTTTTTAATAATTTAGACTTTTAATTTAAATATATTATAAGTATATATTGTAATGGCTATTAATGATATAAGTGGTGATAGTGAGATGTTTTTCCCTGCTGATGATGACAGTTTTTGTTCTATGGTAAGTGATAGTGGAAGTTCTATTTCCACTCCTCTCGCAGAGTTTCTGGTTTCGCAGTTTTCTGATATCCCTAATAACTTCAACGTTGTTCATATAAATGCACAGAGCATTCCGGCCCACTTCCCCGATATGCTGACAACTTTTACTTGTAAAAATATACATGCTGTTCTTATTTCTGAATCGTGGCTGAAGCCCTGTCTTCCCTCTACCTGTTACAATCTTCCTGGCTTCCAATTAATACGAAACGATCGCTCGGTAGGTGGCGGTGGAGGTGTCGCCATTTATCTACGTTCACACATTCCTTTCAATATTGTCGATGTATCTGCACAACCACCGCCGCCTGATGCCGGTGAGCATCTTTTTATTGAAGTCACACTATCTCACTCTAAAGTTCTTCTTGGTGTTTATTACTGCCCTTCTATGCGTATTGACTTCTTCAACTCATTCCAAAATATCTTAGATAAACTTACTCCCTCCTATTCACATACGATTATAATGGGCGACTTTAACACTTGCTTACTTAAACAGGATGCCAGGGCTTCTTCTCTTAAGTCAATTTTACATTCTAGTAATCTCTCTATTTTACCGTTAAATGCCACGCATCATTTTCCAAACTCGACGCCCTCTCTCCTTGACCTTATTTTTGTTTCCTCTTGTAACTTTGTCACGAAGCACGGTCAATATACGGCCGATGCATTTTCATTTCATGACCTAATCTTTCTATCTTATAAAACTCGATCTCCCAAATTTAAACCAAAATGTTACTGCAGCGTAATTTTGGTGGCATGGATATAGATAGTCTTCGTAAGGATGCGTTGCTTTGGGACTGGTCAAGTCTTTATAGCGCAGATAATCTGGATAATAAGGTCTCAATCTTTACTTCTGCCCTTATAAAAATCTTTGATGTGCATGCACCTGCACGCTTAGTCAAAATTAAACATCGTCCATCACCTTGGCTTACTGATGATATTAAATCTATAATCAATAAAAAAGCGATAGCTAAGGCTAAGTTTAAACGTAAGCCGAATGCGTTTAATAGGGAAAAATATATTAACATTCGCAATCACTGCAATAAGGTGTGTAGGGATGCTCAACGCCTTCATATTCATAAGTCAGTGGAAAATTGTGATACGGCAAAGGTCTGGAAATTTCTCAAATCATTGGGTGTTGGGAAATCTAAGAATAATCCAACGACAAAAGATTTAAACGTTAATGGTTTAAATAAACATTTTTCTTCCTCGTCCTGTTTAGATAACACTACTAAGGCTAATACACTAACATATTTTTCAACTATTCCCACTCCCAATCATTCTTCTTTTGTTTTCAAACCATTCTCTGCTTGTGACGTTAAGAAGAGCGTTCTATCTATTACTTCCAATGCAGTGGGAAGTGACTGTGTCAGTCGTAACATGATTCTTCCCATTCTCGATATTATTCTTCCTATTATTTGTCATATCCTTAACTTCTCCATTTCTACAAGTAGTTTTCCATCATCTTGGAAAAATGCTGAAATTATTCCTATTCCAAAGAAAAGTAATCCTACATCCTTTTCTGAATATCGTCCTATCTCTTTACTGCCCTTCTTATCTAAAGTCCTTGAACGCCTTGTTTACACCCAGTTCAACAGTTTTCTTTGTGCGAATGCTCTTCTTAATCCTTTACAGTCAGGATTTCGACCTGGACACAGTACTACCACAGCATTGGTGAACATCACCGATGATATCCGATTAGGAATGGAAAACGGTGAAGTGACTGTTCTTTGTTTATTAGATTTCAGTAATGCTTTTAATACCGTTGACCATGATGTTCTACTCGGCATAATGCGCTCTCTTAACGTATCTCCAACGGCGATTGGTTGGTTTCAGAGTTACCTGTCTGGTCGCCAGCAACGTATACGTATCTACGATACATTATCATCTTGGTGTAACGTTTGTGTTGGTGTACCACAGGGAGGCGTTTTATCTCCTTTGCTTTTTGCAGTTTTTATAAACTCAATATCCAATAATTTAACTTCTTCCTACCACCTTTATGCAGATGATCTACAAATATATACAAAAGCTTGTCCCAACGATCTCCCCAATGCTATCAATGTCGTTAATGCAGATCTCAATCGAATTCTTGAGTGGAGTAATGCATACGGCCTTCACGTTAACCCAGCAAAATCGCAAGCCATTATCATGGGCAGCGCGCAAATGTTGGCTAAGTCGAGCCTAGATTACCTGCCTCTAGTATTTGGTAAAACTATTATTCCTTACGCAGATTCAGTAAAGAACTTAGGTATCCACATAGATAAGAATCTGTCGTGGGGACAGCACCTCAAAGAAATTAATCGCAAAGTTTATGCCTCGGCAGCCTCCTTGCGTAGATTACGTAACTTTCTTCCCATTTCCGCCAAAACTATGCTTGCCAAGTCCCTTCTCTTCCCTATTTTTGACTACGCAGACGTCAGCTATCTAGATCTCACCGAAGCTCACCTCGATAAACTTGAGCGAATTCAGAATTTTTGCATAAGGTTTATATTTGGACTGCGCAAATATGACCATGTATCTCTTTTTCGTACTAAGCTCAAGTGGTTGCCAATACGACTTCATCGGAATGCTCACACACTTCATCTTCTCTATAGTGTTCTCTTTAATCCTTCTTACCCTTCTTACCTCAAAAATCGTTTTGAGTTTCTCCATGATTCCCATTCGCGTAACTTGAGATCAGCAGAGAGTTTGAAGTTGAATTTGCCACTATACACTAGAAAATTTATGAACAAGTCTTTTACTGTACAGGCCGTTCATTTATGGAATGAACTCCCATTGTCAGTAAAACGCGCACCATCCCTACCGGTATTTAAAAAACTAGTTAAGAATCACTACCTCGCACTTTAAATTATAACTTCACTTCCACACTAGCCATTAAATAATATATTATATGTATCATATCAATTTCATTTAATTAATTTAATAATTCAATATATATATATATATATATGTTTTGTATGTATATATGTTTATAGTATGTGTATGTATAGTATGTATATGTGTTTATTCTTTTCTATCTCTTTTCTTTTTTCTCTAACACACCAATTTGCCCTGCCCTTGTCATATTCGTGCAATCCTGTCCATTCATTGGTTGTCTGGAAGAAATTGCTATCAGCAATAAGACCGCCCATTGCATACTTCTTTTATACATAGAATTTCTGTAATTTATGTATGGTGTGCAATAAAGAATATTAAATAAATAAATAAAAATGGTTTTTTTTCAGTTACTTCTAAAATCGATTCAGAAAATCGGTATATCGTAAGAGTACCAAATGGCGAAGCCCTGTACTTTGCCAGTGAAGTATCAACATCCACTCAGAGATGCCTGTGTGGCACAGGGCGGTCGTTCGTGATGCACATACACGATAACACGCGGCAAGAAGCAATGATGTTGCAAAGACGTTTAGCCACCGCTTCGTGTCTCTTCCCTTGCAGGCTACAAGTAAGCATTTGTTTTTAATTAACTCTCTTAATTTCAAAATTAAATGTCACGTTACGAGCAACCTGGATTCCATCCACGCCAGCATCAATAAAATTGTTAATTGTAATTTTAAATGCTGTGGATAACCGCTGTCAGACAACAGAATAAGAAATATTGGTAAATCCAATTGGGCATACCTTAAGCGCATTAAAAAAAGTACGTATAACATGATTATACGGAATGTTTAAAGTAGTTTAAATACATTTCGACAGCACTATCGGCTTCAACACCCTCAAAAACCATGAAAATGACACCCAAGATGAAAAACTTGATATCTATTTCAGCCGCCACCTTGGATTTACATTTCGACAGCACTATCGGCATCAGCACCCTCGAAAACCATGAAAATGACACCCATGATGAAAAAATTGGGGTCGGCTTTAGTAATCTGCGGCACGATTTAAGTGATCATTTTAGCTTTAGGTGATAAGCAATGATGCTATTAATTACCATCTAGCTGCTTTTTATGCCGGAAATCTTTAGTTTTCAAGATATCGATAATTATAGTTTTGAGGTTATATCAATTTAAAAATAATACGAAAACGAAATAACAATATAATTATTAGAGAGTCTGTCACTGTGGGGAGGTCAAGGGGGCTTATCTCAAGCGTCCCCGTGCATTTTCAGCTGCGTCGAAAAATTTAAAATTATTTTCTAAAAATATTCATAAATCACTAATTAATACTTGAAACTGAACTTTTGTTGTTGTTGTTGTTTTTATTATTCGCTCGATATATTAGCCGCCATCTTGGATTTACATTTCGACAGCACTATCGGCTTCAACACCCGCGAAAACCATGAGAATGACACCCATGATGAAAAAATTGATATCTATTGCAGCCGCCATCTTGGATTTACATTTTGACAACCCTATCGGCTTCAACTCTCTCGAAAACCATGAAAATGACACCCATGATGAAAATATGGACACCTATTGCAGCCGTCATCTTGGATTTACATTTCGACAGCACTATCGGCTTCAACACCCTTGAAAACCATGAAAATGACACCCAAGATAAAAAATGGATGCCTATTGCAGCCGCCATCTTGGATTTACATTTCGACAGCACTATCAGCTTCAACACCCTCGAAACCCATGAAAATGACACCCATGATGAAAAAATTGATACCCATTGCAGCCGCCACCTTGGATTTACATTTCGACAGCACTATCGGCTTCAACACCCGCGAAAACCATGAGAATGTCACCCATGATGAAAAAATTGATATCTATTGCAGCCGCCATCTTGGATTTACATTTCGACAACCCTATCGGCTTCAACTCTCTCGAAACCCATGAAAATGACACCCATGATGAAAATTTTGATATCTATTGCAGCCGCTATCTTGAATTTACATTTCGACAGCACTATCGGCTTCAATACCCTCGAAAACTATGAAAATCACACCCATGATGAAAAAATTGGTACCTAATTCAGCCGCCATCTTGTATTTACATTTCGACAGCACTATCGGCTTCAGCACCCTCGAAAACCATGAAAATGACACCCATGATGAAAAAATTGATACCTATTGCGACCGCCATCTTGGATTTACATTTCGACAACCCTATCTGTTTCAACAACCTCGATAACCATGAAAATGTCACCCATGACAAAAAAAATTATACTAGTTACTTTTAGTACGTACTACTATTATTTATTCTGTGCTTTTAAAATATTGTAATAAAAAATCTCTTATTATTATTATAATCAAGTATTTAAGAAATTTGGTTATTCGAAAATTGTGTATTTGTACAGCGATCTTTTTGAGCCGCTGCAAACAACCGAAACAATGTCCACTCACGACGACGACTGAAGCCTAGGGACATTCAGATACCAGTAAATACGAGTAGGTACTCGATACTTTTGATTCGATACCAAGTACTAATAGCATCGAATCAATCTTGTGATACTTACTCGGTAACAACAAACAACGCAAACAAAATTACTTGGTATCGGACCCGGCGAGCCGAACCCGTCCGACTTCACCTGAGCCGAGACCGAGACAGAGAGCTGCCATTACTCTAAAATTATCACTGGTCCAGTCAGCACTAGCAGTTTTCAGCATTCCACAAGTGATTGTTTACGTAATTTAAGTAATTGTAGTCATCGGTTTATTATTCCAATGTTTAATAGCACCACCAAAATCATTAATATTGACATATTTCACCAAAACAAACGAAACAACTGCAAAATGTAAACAATGTTTTAAGTTGGTGAAATATTGTGGGAATACGTCTAATTTATTCAAGCATTCTAAAACTCATGGAATTACTGTGGTTAAAGGCAAATCACAGCAAAAAGTAGATAAAGGGACAAACGAAAGGTAGAATCTTGAACTTGTCACTAATTAATTTCGTTAGGTTAGCTACTTAGGTTAGGTTCATAATAGTTCGTTAGTTCTGTAGTATGTTGTTGTCTAATAGATGTTATCTAATAGTTGAAATGTAAGGAAAATGAAAATATTGTTATGTTAGGAGATTTTAATGGAAGGGTTGGGGTGAAGAGGTCTGGTTATGAAAGGATATTAGGAACGTTTGGCGATGAAAGAATAAATGAGAATGGTGAAGACCTCCTCACCGTATGTGTGGAAAAGAATCTTTTTGTGGCGAACACTTTCTTTCGCCATAAGAGGATTCACATGTATACATGGGAAAGAGGGGATGATAGAAGCATGATAGATTTTATAATTGAGGATGAAAGAATGAGGAGCGCAGTGGTAGATACAAGGGTTTATCGGGGGTCCAACGTAGGGACGGATCATTACTTGGTCTTATGCCGAATTAATGGTCTATTCAGACGTTGGCGGCATCGGACATTTGTGTCTACCACTGCGTTACAGCGTATAAGAATAGAGAGGTTACAAGATGAAGGTGTGAAAGAAAAATATAAATGCAGACCGAAGGAAAATATAAGTGGATTGAATGAATTATGTATGAAAGATTTAGAATTGAAGAATGTATGGAATAATATTAAGAAACTTTTGGTGGATGCAGCCACCGAAGTATGTGGTGTAAGTAAGAGAACGAATGAAAGGGAAAGTAATACGTTGTGGTGGGATGATGAGGTACGGATGGAAGTTGAAGCAAAGAAGAGAGCATGGCTAGATTTACTAGCAACTAAAGCTGGTAATTCTGGCGGTATGAATTATGAGATTGAAAGAAAAAAGGCTGACTTTAGACGTATAAATAAGAGACTAAAAGAAGTTGTTGAAAGGAAAAAGCAAGAAAGGATAGATAAAAATGATAGAAGGATATCTGATAACTTCCAGGATAATATTAAAATGTTCTGTAAGCTCGTAAGAACTGCCAGGGGAAATTCAAAACAGTCTAGAATGAATGCTATACGAGACGAGAATGGCTGCATGTTGAATGATGAAGTTTCGAATTTAAAGAGATGGAAGGAATACTTTGAAAGCGTGTTTAAGAGTGAAAAGTCGTCTGAAATAAGTGAAATAGAAATTGCGGAAGAAGTGGAGAGAGGTAGGGAGATAAGTGTAGATGAAATAATGAAAGCAATGAAAAGCATCAAAGCAGCTAAGGCAGCCGGATATGATAGAGTATCACTCGAAATGCTAAGGGCTGGTGAGGGTGTGGTTGCAGGCCTGCTGTACACCTTGTTTAATTTATGTTGGGAACTGAAGCGGGTACCGGAAGACTGGTGCAAAGCCGTTATAGTCCCAATATATAAGGGAAAGGGGTCGCAGCGGGACTTTAAAAACTACCGTGGTATCAGCTTGCTTAGCATTATGGGTAAACTGTATGCTAAGGTGTTAATTGAAAGAGTTATGGAAGAAACTAATGGAAAAATTTGGGATGTGCAAGCTGGATTTAGAAAGGGGATGGGGTGTACGGATCAAGTCTTTTCCATGCGCATGATAGCGGAGAAGTTTTTGGCTAAAAACCAGAAAGTTTTTTGTGCGTTCATGGACTTGGAAAAGGCTTATGACAGAGTGGACAGGAATGTGTTATGGCAAACACTGAACTCATTTTGGTAGAGCGCTCGCTTGATACAGGTATTAAGGTCTCTTTATAGGAACTCTAGTGCTTGTGTCAGGATCAACGGGGTCTACTCGGACTGGTTTGGCATTCATAAAGGTGTCAGACAGGGATGTGTGGCTTCCCCGTGGCTGTTTAACTTATCTATGGACAGTTGTTTGCAAACTTTGAAAGTTGAAGAATGTGGGTTGAGAATGGGTGAGTCAACCGTCAAATGCCTTTTGTACGCCGATGATCAAGTCATATTTGCATCGTCGGCGGCCGAGTTGCAAATGATGGTTACTTTAATGAATTGGTCATTGAAAGAAAGGGGTATGAAAGTGAACGCAAGTAAGACGAAAGTGATGGTTTTTGAAAGAGAAGAAAATAACACTTTATGCGAAATAAGAATAGAAGGGGAGTTGATTGAGCAAGTGGATGAGTTTGTATATTTGGGATGTTTATTTAGCAGGGATGGTAGATATGATAAGGATATAGAACGACGAGTGAACGCAGGAAATAGAGTGAATGGGGCTCTACATGCTATTATGAGGAGTCAAAATGTGTCAACTAAGGCACGTATGGCAATTCATAATGCTGTGTTAGTCCCTACTTTGATGTATGGTAGTGAAAGTTGGGTCTGGCAGAAGAAGCATGAGAGTAGAATAAATGCTGTAGAAATGCGTTCCTTAAGGAGTATGCTAGGGCTGAATCTGAATGACAGGGTGAAAAATAGTATGATAAGAGAAAAGTGTGGTTTGCAAGATGACGTTGTGACAAGGATTAAGAAAGGAATGCTTCGGTGGTTTGGTCATGTAGAAAGAATGAACGAGGAAAGAGTGACTAAGCAAATTTATGTTGCAGAATTGAACGGCAGGGTCGGGAAGGGACGCCCTAGACGAAGGTTTATCGGCCAAATCGGCGATACATTAAAAATGGGCCAGATTAGGAGTACCCTTAACCGACGAGCGTGTATGCGTAGATATATGGATGTAAAAGAGGCGAGAGAGGTCTGTCAGGATCGCGCCAAATGGAAGTCCGTAGTCTCTGCCTACCCCTCTGGGTGACAGGCGTGAGTGTTTATGTTATGTTATATGTAATAGATGTTATCAGAAGTGGCAGGGCAGAATAGATCGTTGTGGGGCTTCAAGCATTTGCTACGTTAATTTCATTAAAAAAATCTAAAAGTATCGATATCATTAAGTATCGACATTAGGAGTATTTATATGAGTAGTATCGAAAAATGATTTGATTACTACTGTTATGAGTAGGTATCGATACTTTTATGGTATCGGAACATCCCTACTGAAGCTGAACTAAACTACTCTGCGGCTGTACCTCCCCATTTACAGAAATAATTTACATACAAGGCCAAATCAACGAAAATTTCGCCATTTTGGAGCCGAAAAAAATTAATTATAGCTAAACAAAACAAAATTACACTGCCATTTACATTCAGTGGGTTGCCACATGATAAATGAAGAGATTAAAAAATAGATTAAGTTAAACAATTGATATTTTCAAAAGTTATAGTGTTTACAAGCCTTGGGGACATGATAAATCCACACCATAAGCCACTAAAACCCCTTTTTTTATTTAAAAATAGCAATTAATCGATTTAAAAAAAAATATTAATAAGTTCAACAATCATTTATCTTTCTAACAATGTGCTTTTTATATCATTTATATGTATAATATGATTGCTAGATACGATTTTATTCGATAAAACGTTTGAATCTTAATTTTTAGGCGATAGTAGAACATACCTTGCGCGTTCGCTTAAGGTATGCAATATTTCGAGGACATGTGAAGTCCACCTCACGCAATGGTGCATAACGGCAAAAGACTGGTACGCTGCAGCACTAAAAGGGGCCTGTGGGACGGTAGATGATGGAAAACATAAGAAAATTAAGAGTAGCAGTAGCTAAACCATCCATCAAAAGTCCATTGCTAAACTTAGGCCTCCCCCAAGGAATGCCACAAAGCACAGTCATAAACCACCTGCATCTATCGACTTCCTGCATCTCTTGTCAGGTTGTAACACCATTTAGTGAGGAGCCGTCCTACGAGGCTGCCTTTCGAGAAACTTTCTTCCCAATCGGGTGTGGGCTGGCCATTGCCACTTCCGCTTACTTACCCGTTGGGCTATGTCAGTTACACTGGTTCTACTGCTAATATCCTCATTTCTAAGCATATCACACAGAAAAATTCGGGCTTAGCCCTCTCCATAGTTCGCTGAGCGACCTAGAGTTTCCTCGTGTATAATGTATTATATTCTCTTAATTAGGAAATGAAAGTTATAACACCACCGGGCAATTATGTAGGCCGCGTGCATCAGCAGTGGACGTGGATGGTTCCATTCTATCTAGTGAGAGACGCTAACGACGATGTTCTGTTTGTAATCGAGGGCCCTGCTACAATAAAGAGGAGTGCACTGATACTTTCTGAATTTAAGGTATTCTACACTTACTTACTTCTTGTTCATTACCATTATCATTATTCATTACCAGCTCGTAAAATTCAACTGGTATGATGATTGCAGGCGCCCCGCTTGTCGTTATTGGTCCGGGTGTTTTTACAACTGGTGTAAACAGATAGCTACGCCGCCATTTATCAGAATCCGTAAGGTTTTTCTGGCATTTCACATAGTTGCCTCTTACGTAACTACGCTATTAAATAAAATGATAAATAAATCTTACATTCATCCATCCATTACAGCCTATAAAAGTCCACCACTGAACACTGGCATCCCTCATAGATTGCCTCTTAGGGGAGATTTTGGCATAGTTTCTGCGTTTGGCAGGTTGATTGGCAACCGCAGTTTCTTTATTATTGTGAGTTATATCAGGAAAATGCTACTGCCCATCTCCTGTTTTCAGCCGACTTCCAAAAAGGATACGGTACTCAATTCGACGCGTATGTTTTTTTTTATGTGTGTTACCTCATAACTTTTTACTGGGTGGACCGATTTCGATAATTCTTTTTTTATATGAAAGCTGATACTTCATATAAAAAAAGATTTGATCAAGGTCAGACCAATAGTTTTTGAGTTATTCTTAATAACTCATATTGAAGTCGGCTGTACAAAATTTTTAATTTTATGTTCTCCTCTGTTATTTCTTACGACACCCACGGAACGTTACCCCATTACTGGATATTCTTTCACCGCCATTTTGTAACACCATGTTCGAGTTTTTTTTTTAACAATAAGAGATTTGTAGTTTAATTTAAAAAATGCATTTACAAGATTAACTACACCTTTCGAAAACAAAATCTATTATACCAAAGGTAACAAGACCACGCGTGTACATTTTCAGATAATGTCTGGCGATTCCTTGCGCGAAGTCGGTAAGATATCGCACGGATGGCACCGAGAACTGGTGAACTTTGCAACTATACTCAAGTTCCCAGACGGGGCCGTGCAACCAAAACACAAGGCTCTTCTACTGGCAGCGACTTTCTTATTGGTGCGTTTATTTTTATTGAAATTCAAATACTCTTTCGAATCAGGTTCGAAGCTTCTGTGTGTGTTCCAGATCATTAAACGTAGTAAAACCATGCTGTAAATGAATTATGGCTGCAGCATGAATGGATGGTCGTATGCATTACATACGACACGTATAAGTGTGTTATCGTATATACTCGTACATGTAGAATACACCAGCTCCTGCGCGGTTTAAAACTTCCGATTATTCAGAAGTTGTCACCGTGGTTAGAAATTAACCTGAAGGAAATTGACTGACTAGGAACTTGATTAACTTATTATTCACGTCGAAATAGTTTATGGTAAAGTAAAAAACATTTATTGTCCGTGTCCAGCTTGGTCACCGATCGAATTGGACGCTGCGGCCCACAAACATCAACATTTATCCTCGATTAAGAATCAAAATGCAGATGCGTTGTCATTCCTGAGGACTAAAATGGAATGCCTCGTTTCCAGTAAAAAGGCTCTCCAGTTCTTTACACTTATCACACGAAACACAGCAGCGTTAATTTGCTATTTTACGCTGGTATTCTGTGAGAGCGTGGTCCTTCCCCGGTCGAGCCGAAGACCGACCCATTAATGCTATAACCATAATATAGCTTCAGCGTCGCTCTACTACATACAAATTTAAGTTTTAAGTACTAATAGAGTTTTAAGTTTTTTACCTATTGAATATTAACTTGAAAACGTAGTATAAATATGTATTTCTATTCCAGGAATACACGTACTTCGAACGGGCAAAGACAAGCTGTTTACGTTGCAACTGCCTATAGCTAATAGCTTAAAACGTAGTGATTATATGCTCTTTGGCCTTAACCTTCATTAAAATTTATACTTTTATATAATTATTTGTTGAATTTATTTTTGTAATGTGTACATAAATGCATTAAAATATAGTTTATTTCCTTAATTTTGCTGTTTGTATCAAAATTGAATTTTTAAAAGAAACGTTGGTAAAGTAAGGGCATTGCCTAGATATTCTTTTTTTTTTTTAATAACTGGCTTTACGGCTCTGGGTTCTAGCCCTTCTGAGCCTGAAGTTACAATGTATAATTATTATCCTTCATAGTATAGTGCTTCACAATATGTTGATGCGTCACATTGTGCAGCCCTTGCGAGATTTTGACGGCAACTTGAGCCAGCAGACAGCTGAAAGTTGGCGATGGTATCTTAAGGCACCTAAGCAGACAGACACCATATCTTGAGAATCACATCACCATCAGAGCACTTGTTTCACCCTTTCTATTAATAGTTCACATGCGCAGACATTTAATACACAAAATCGCACCACTTTTACATATTAAAATTCACTTGCAAGCAGCAATCCATCGCCGGTCAAGTTCCCGCCAAAACTCTCCTACCTAGATATTCATCACAGGCATGGACAAGAGCAAGACAATCTGTTACGTTATCTTGTTGTCTATGCATCGTTTACAAAGCATGTCAAGATCACAGACTAAGTAGTAGATTCTACACGAATGTCAAGATATTATAATGTCACTTTATTATGTTATGTTATGTTTACAGCCAATTTGTCTATATATTATATATAATTATAATTTATGTCATATATATTTCAGATCAAAAATATTTCTATTCGATAACGTTATTCTAAATTAGCAATGTCAAATCAATCTTGTGCTACAATTAAAAATAAATCCTGGCCTTATCAGCAATATTACGTGGGCGAAAGAGACAGCGAAGGAAGAAGGAATGGTGGCGGCGAGAACCACTGGACTGGAGCAAAGGTTTTATTTGTGCTACATATTATCACACGCAAAAACAGCCTGAAACACTGCTGAACATTGGTATAACAATGAACTTTCTCTTTAAAATGAAAAAAGGTCAAAGTCTTTATTTATTTTGTGATTTTTTAATTAAAAAAAAACTTCTTTTGTAATCTCCTAAAAATAATCACATCTGTAATATAAGTACTTGCCTGTTCGAAATAACTGGATACATTTAAGGTCGGCAGGTTATTTGCATGCTACTAAGACATGAATTAACATTAAAAAAAATTGTCTGCAAGGCTCTATTACGATGTATTAAAGTTCAAAAAGATAAAGACTAGAAACCAAAGTTTAAGTGTTGAGTTGTTACTATGTAAAAAGAAGCTTTAATCCAGATTTGTAGGAGGAATGTGGGCGCCAGCAGTAAAGCCTTTGTTTTCACGCCCGTGTTTGCAATTCCGTAGCAGCACTAACAACTCTAACATTTACTTAAGTTCAAAAACCTATAAGCAAAATATTCAATATTTTATTGTCATACTTGCACATAAAAGGAAAATTATAACGTATTATACGTCCCACAGCTGGACGCAGGCTTTATCGCATTTTTGAGAGAATTATGGAGCAATAGGTATCACGCACTACCCCAGTGTGAGTGGCTACAATCTATTTTGTATTACCAGCAAAAAATTAAGGGCGTGTTTAGTAACCAAATAGACATATACATCAATAAATTTAAGTAAAAACTAAGCGAGTGTATTCGCCAGCAAACTGCCCTACAGTTTGGCAAAAGTGACTTAAAATACAACCGAATGTATTTTTATGTCATAAATTAAAATAGGGCCTGTGTCTTAACTTAGCTTGGTTTAGCTGTGGGACGTATATTATAATACGACCTTAAAACGTCTATTTTATATAGTATAATAATATGGCATGTTTAGGTACACCGCCATCTGTCGACAGTGATAAGATCTTTTCTTCAAGTCGTATGATGGATGATTAAATAGGATAATAGATAGGATTCAACTTTTTTTATCTTTTCAAATCGTTTACTTAATTTTTCAAATTTAAAATAAAAACATTTATTATATATAAGCTTTGTCAGTCGAAAGACTAAAATGAAATACCACGTACCTAATGCGTACTTTTAGTCGTTAGAGTGGTATTGCGGACGATTATTGCGCGACACCATGCATGGTATTGGCGAATATTACTGGCGATATATTGATCCCGAAGGTGCTTTTGTATCTTACGAGGGACACTTCTACTGCAACCAAATGCATGGCTATGGAACTAAGTCATACCCCGACGGCAGAGTTTTTGAAGTAAGTAAATTTGAAATTGGATTGAAGAAATGAATGTCAACTGAGTGGTCAGATTACCATGTCATGAGTACTATGTTCGAATTAGAGCAGAGGTCTTCTTCCTGTTATTTATCAGACCGTTACAGTTCATTGCTGGACTCTCCTGTTGTAGGGAGGATTTACTTTGTGGTGGCGCTGTCCTCGCGCCGCAAGCGAAAATACATCGAAGCCTAAATCGCGCTATCAAAGTTCCGAAGTAAAAGCAGAATATAGCGTTGGCTGCTCCCCGGGCAGAACACGTTTCCTTTACTTCACTTTAATAATCACGCATAGCAGGCAGGTTGACAATAACAGTATCAGTCGACACGCACTTTTGACGCTAATTCTCGTCGCCGGTCTGGCTATTTCAAATCTGGTGTAAGCGAGATGGTTATACAGTCATTTATCGGAAGCCACAAAATCTATCCGACATTTCCCATAATCCTACAACACTTACGAGACGAAACAGAGTAAAGGATTCACTTAAGCTTCACATCACCAAAGCCATCTTTTTGGCATCATGCCAGCCAAGATCATGCAATATCAAAATGCATGTAGATTTTGAGATTTTCCGTTTTGTCCATTCTTCTAGATGTAATTGACTCTCAGAAACTACATTCATGAACATCTTTCATCTTATCGCGTCAGGGTTGCTGTACATCTATTGCGGATAAGTTAGGGCAAATTAAATAAGTTCTGTATTGGCAAGTACACTTGTAAAAAATTTCCTTCCTTTATTCACTTCTTATCATTGATAACATACGATAGTGTCCGGCAGCTTCCGCCTTGGCTGCAATCGGCAAAATCTTCGGCACAATTGTTTTTTTTTTTACTATATGCTTCCAAATTTCTGATTTGATTGTTGTTGTAATGGATATGATATATGAAAGTCCAATTTTTTTATAGAATTAATGTGGTAAACGAGCGAACAGTTTGCCTGATGGTATAGTAGTAGTAGTATAGTACGCTGTGACCCACATCTATCTTCGATAAGACTCAAGTAGCCAAATGCAGAATGCATTGTTACCCCTGTGAATTAAGAAGGAATGCCTCGTTTCCAATAAAAAGGGTCTCCATTTCTCTACACTCAATATACGAAACACAGCTTGCTTTTTCAAGCTAGTATTCTGTAAGAGAGTGGTCCTTCCCCGGACGCGCCGACCCATTCGTGCTAGAGCCATGTTAACTGCAGCGTATAAATTTTAAACCTCACCTATTTTAACTGCTTGAGGTTCATATTGTTCCATTCTAGCGTGAATGAATGATATTAATATTATCATATATCATATCTAAAATGAAAATACCTCTTGTGCGTACGCTAGTTGACTTTTGCGTCCCGCATTCGAAAAAAAAAAGATATCGTCACCAAAATAATTTTATTCGACTTTTAATTGGATATTGAATACCTGATCAAATTTTCGTTAAAATCGATTCAGTAATTTATTTTCAACAAGAAAATTCGACTTAAATATTACTCTCGCCAAATATAAAGGTGATAAAGAAGTTAAGAAGAAATCGCACCGTAAATCATCCTTAATTTATAAGTCTTGATAACATTTAAATAATTTTGAGTATAAAAATAATAAAAATTTCTATACTGCTGTTATTTTAACAGTCACTATTTATTAATATTGTCTATAATAATTTCTTCACAATTGTTCTTGTCACCAAATTCCTAGGGCTTGTTTCACTCTAACTTGCGATGGGGACCAGGAGTAGAGTGCCATATAAGCGTTCGCGAAAATGTAGGTCTCTGGCTCGGCAATCAATTAATAAGACTATGTTGGAGACCATCAACTACTAGTTTATTTCTGGACTTTATGGGCACCAGTACTGGACGAGCATGTGTTACGGCAGCAAGAAATTTAATGACTTCTTATTCCGAGCCTGTGAGTAGATTTATTTATAACTAACTTTAGTTATAAAATAACTACGTATGACACTACTACATATACACACTACTGATTTCAGTTAGGCAAAGGCCTTCCTAATTCTTAATAGAAATCTTTTCGGAAAGGGCGCAGACCTTTTTAGGGCAAAGGGGCAGACATCACACGTCCTCGATATATTTATAATTTCTCAATCATGCTTGCTTCCTTACGATGTTGTACTTGTGTGTTGTTTCACCGGCGAGCTCGCGATAAAAGCCTTTTTCCTGCCTTCACTGATTCACCTTTCATTTGATACCCTATATTACTACTATAACTAAGATAAATCTAAAGACATACCATTTGTTAAAATTCATCAAGCCGTTTAGGCTACAGAGTGCGCCAATGAAATAGACATACGGTACATACGCTCGAAAAATATTAACTCCGTTTGTGGCAGTCTTTTAATAAAATACCACTTGTTTTTTCAATTCAACTCAGTTCACTGTATGTCTCAATGAAATAATTTGCTATGTTAATTGAAATTCTATTAATAAGATTAAAAATGTTAATGTTACTTTATAGATCAACAAAAATACCGTAATTGAGCTATTGGTTGAATACGGCTTAGATCAGCAAGCGGCAGAAGAGAAATGGATGAAACTTCAAGCAAAGCACTGTTCGGATATCTCAAGTCCCGTATTTCCCCTACAATTATTTGAGGATAACTATTACGGATCTGGGAATAAAAATATTTTACAAGAAAGTAAAAAGGTTAGAATATATTATAAAACAAGCATTACTGGCAACATGCACCGCTTTTACACTTTATTTAAGTAGAAGAAGTTTTCTCCCTCGCACAACTTCTTTGTGGAATCAATTACCACCAGCGAATTTTCCGGACCGATACGACTTAGGAACCTTCAAGAAAAGAGCTTACACCTTTCTAAAAGGCCGGCAACGCATCTGCAATTCCCCTGGTGTTGCAGTTGTTCATGGGCGGCAGTAGTCACTTACCATCAGGTGAGCCGCATGCTCGTTTGCCCCCTCTTCTATAAAAAAATAATAATATTTTTTTAACTTATTATAAGCCAGTGCTTAACTACGATCCCACCTGGTGATAAGTGGTGATGCAGCTCTAGAAGGTAAATCGCACTGCCTTAGCGTAACAAAATCCTATTCACTCTTGCCTTGAAGATGCCACGATTGTATTCGGACGGAAAGATAGACGCCGGCAAATTATAACCACTCCTTTGCTGTACGCATTACAAAGACGAAGCAAACCTTTTGGTTCTAATGCGCGGAATATCGACAACAAAGGGGTGAAGACCCGCCGACCGCCTGGTTGTCAGATGGTGGAATGAGAAAGGTATTCTGAAACGAGATGTCCACTAACTCGTGTAAATTTCGAATAACAAAAAAATTACATGTTCGTCGTAGGTATAGGTACACGTCGTAACACGAGAAATTGTTGCGTAATATCCCAAATAAGTTGGTTTCGTCTTTCTCAGTCATACATCTTCTTAGTCGTATTGGACTTAACTTATCAGACAATATGACTTAGGTAAATTTACTCGTCAACTTAGATTATTTACTCTCTACGTGACGCTTCACGCAATGAGCGATGCAACAAACACTGGGCATGGGCAGTGTTTACAAGCATGTGTGCACGCACATAATAAGTCAACAATTACATTATGTTAAAAAATAAGAATTATAAAACACTTAAAATTCTTTTAATAGTCACTAAAAAATCACAATGTACAATTTCTGATTTCTTATTATAATACCTACACAAATATTGACATTAATATTTATACGATACTAACGTCACTCAATTGTTTTGCCTTCCCGGAACCCCTTCACTAACACTTAAACTTTATGGTATAGTATTAAAGTTCAAATTGACTTTTAAGTATTATTACGAATCTTTTGTATGGGAATATAGAAAAGTGTTGTTTTTAGACTTTTTCAGGCAAGTTTTTAAATTTTTCTCTGCGTGAAAACCATCTTCGTACTTCAAGGAATATTATAAAAAAGAATTAACGAAATCGGTTTAGCTACTCTCGAGATTTGCGCTTAGCAACACATTCAGTGATTCATTTTTATATTATAGATGTATATATAAGATAAAACGCTTTCTGTACTTAATTCAGATTTCAGAAAGTACTGTGGACTTTCAAGAAAAACAATATTTTGCTTGGAATAACAACGAAATAATAAAGCACATGATGAAACATTCTTTTACGCATGATACACAAACAGCTAGAACTAGGTTAAATATATCTAAAATTTTATCTGGCCCAAGACACAATTTTAAGCCGCCAGTGAAGCATGAACTGGATTGCAGGTTAAATATATTTTTTTGCATATTAGTATAATTTTGAACTTCATTAAAAATATATTTTATAAAATTAGGAAATTAATCATTTTTAACGCAAAACTATTGTTTTAAGATAGAACTCTACTAATGGCAAGTTATTTGGGCGAGACCAACGTAGTCGTTCAACTCGTGAATGAGGAAGGCATTCATGCAGATGTAACTGATATGCAAGGCAACAGCGTTCTTGTGTATGCTGTGGTAAATTAATTTTTAATGAAATAACCGATGATTTCCTATAAAGGCTAATAAAGCTTAGTGAGTACACTTAAAGCATTGTTATTTCTATAGCCACAGATTTCATCAAAGCAGAGGAATCTGGATTAAGTCAACCGTCCCTAGTTTGGTTATGAAGGGCGTTATTATTTTGTAATCGTCCAAGGAAATAAGATGCTATGTTTCTAAGATTTGTTCTTTGATCTTGATTTATCAAATTACAGTGCGGTGAACAGAGAGAGATAATACACTTTCTAGTGGAGGCTGGCGCAGGTATAGACAATTATAATGATTCATGCTGCACTGCTCTCAGCGTTGCTTTGATTCGCTTTAACTGCGCCCGTAAAAACATTTCAGCCAACGATATGACACAAGCTTTGATACCCGAAACAAATTTGCCACGAGATCGTAAGATAACTTTCTTTTTTAAATATTGTTGTATATGATAGAAACTCCACCTAGTGGCATCATCGCATATTTTTAAAACGGTAGGAGAGCCCAGTACGTTTTTCTAATTCCAGAGGGCAAGTATGTACGGGCCAATTATACACATTATTAATAAGCATTAAACATAATTCCAAATTCGAATTTCCTGTAGTAGCTCAGAGTCATGAACGCACGCTTCAAATTCGACTGTATGGATTTATGTTGTAGAATTTATATTGTATTGTAGTAGCGAATATGAATTCATTAAATTATAAATATATCTTATAATATGATATCCTTTTAGCATCATTAGAAACGGTGTCCGAATGGAATTTGGTGAGAGATGTATCTTCTTTGAAAAACGCCCTAACAAAAAACTCAAGCAAAATTATGAAGTCCTTAACGTCTCTCAAAGAAATTCCACCACCTAAAAAGAGTCCTGACATTTCTGTAAAACTGGAACAAGATTCCATAAGCGAAAACGAGAACATAAACAAAAGCATTGAATTGTTCACTGAAATCAATAACAAGTATGCATCAAAGACAGCTGAACTTTATTCAGCAATAAGTACTGGAAATCCTATTCCATACATTTTTGAAGTTCATAACATAACTAATGAGTTTGAAGGCATTGTTGAAGAGCCAAAGAAAACTTCAGTCAAAAACCCTAAGAGAGTTATTTCGACAGCCCTAAAAGAAAGTGTTAAGCCAACGAACGGAAACATGCGTCATAGCAACGATTATACAAAATCAAAAAATTTCTTCAACAGGTTAATACTGGTATCTATGATAATTTACACTATATATACATTACCTACTACTGATAATGTACACTATATATACATTACCTACAATTAAATCAGCTAAATAGCATGTCTTTATATATTCCCTTTGTCCCATTGTCTTTTTATATTCCCGACGTTGCGAGCACTTTACAGCACTCATTGTCACGGGAGGGAGGGGGGGGGGGGGTGGCTGAGGTGTTCAACGTCCCAATGTCATAGCTAACCATGGCTACCTATAGATTAAAATTACATCTTCCTCGGGTAATGCGTAGATGGGTCCGATCTACATAGTATGAACTTATAGTATCTTGAAATCTTGCAGTTGTACGCTTGGATTGGGATTTAATTTTATTAATTATAGGATCCCAACCAGATGGTAACGCCTAGCCATCTTCTCTATTGAAATTAGGATATTTTTTGTATTTCAATAGCCTAGCGAATCATCCTTGGCAGGAATCAGTGTCCTTTAGCAAAGATTTGTGGTCTATCAAATCTGATGTAGTGACGGAGGTGATCCTGTACGTGTTCACAGACTGCAGACTTCCCGTAGCGTCGATTCCTCACATCATGACCTATGTGGGTGTTTAATGCGGGTTTTTATTAATGTTTGTCCTATGTTAGCGAGATCGCATTCACAATCAAGCTTGTACACTTCTGCATCTTGCGGAGGGATATTACACTTGACTAATGCTAAAAACAGACCAATCTTTTTCGGCGGCTTGAACTATGTTTTAATGGAAGCACGCTTCAAGTTGTAGGCGATCTTGTCAATGACACCTCTGACATGTGTTAGTACGCACGCTCGATCGTGGCTGGCTTTACTCGTTCACTGTGATATAGGCGCGGGACCAGAAGCTAGTTGTCGTGCAAAACTTGCTTGATGTATTGGAGCTCGGTGGCCAAGTGTTTACTGTCACAGATCCCTCGTGCTCTCTGAAACAAAGATTTACCCGCAGTAGCTAACTGTGAAGGATGGCGGTGAGAATCATCATTTAATTAATTATCTATTTGTATGGCACTCTCTAAACACAGTGTGACTCAAGGTGTTATCAGGATTCCGAATTACTAAAACATCTAAAAAAGCTAAAGAATTATTAGCCTCGAAGTCTGTGAACTGAATTTTAGAATTTATGGAGTTAAGATGTTCTAAAAATGCAGTTACTTTACCTAAAGGTAGAATTGTGAAAGTGTCATCTACGTACCGCTTGTAGAATCTTGTATTTACGAGAGACGTAAGCTGAGCTTTCTCCTCAATGTTTTCCATGAATATATCGGCTACAGTGGAAGATACAGGTGAGTCCATCGCCACACCATCTACTTGATTGTAAAACTCTTCCTTCCACAAAAGGTAGCCAGATATAAGGCAGTGTCTGAGTAATACAGCATATTCTACGGGCATGTTGTTTTCTTCCAGCCTTCTAGATACAATTGAGATGCAGTCTTTAATAGGTAAGCATATGAACAGTGCTGCACATCAAAACTGACCATAGTTTTATTTTCTGCCAGATGTAGGTCTTTAATGTCGCTGACAAAATGTTAGGAATCTTTTGTATGTGCTCTTATTGAGCCAATCTGTAAGTTGGTGTATAAATCTGGCTCACTATTTTACGTAGTCGAGTATTGAGCTTGTGTATTTTTGGTAACTTCGATGATCCTGTACACGGAGGTATTATGGAAAGTGCTCGAAACGTCGGGAATGTAAAATAAGTTATATACACGATAAAAATCCATAAAAATTAGTTTTATTTAAATGTGTAGTGTTCTCGTAAACATAAGAAATCAGCTTGTCTTTATGTTTATCGTTGAGGGTCACGATTGACATATCGATATGAACAAATTTAGAGGAACGCAAAAAAGAGGTTTAATTTCTCCTGTTGTAGTTATCGTGCGTACTGGTCATAAACATTAGTATTAGTAAATGTTTTTAAAAAAGAAGGTTTTGGAATGTTTTTTTTTTCGAATTTCATTTGCGTTTTACATAATTATTGCGTAATATTGCGTTCATTCATACTGCGATAAAAATTGCCAACTTTTGAATTTGAGATTAAATTTAGTTTTGTTTATATTTTTGCCTTGACTACTTTGTTTATCGTCTAAATAAATGGCATATAAATTATAAGGCCTCATTTTTTACAGTTTTAACAGTTTGCATAGCAATGAATGTTACCAGTTAGCAACATATCATTGATATGCAGAAGAAACAGCGTTGGTGATAGCACACAGCCTTGTGGAACACCAGCGTTAATAGGCTTGTAGTCAAAACATGCACCGTCTACAACAACCTTGATGCTCCGATCTGTAAGGAAGCTGGTGATCCAATTGCACAATTTGTCAGGAAGCCCATAGGAAGGGAGCTTCGAAAGAAGCGCTTTGTGCCAAACCCGATCGAAGGCCTTCGCAATGTCCAGACTAACGGCCAACTCCCCCTTGGACTCTACTGCCTCCGCCCATCTATGGGTCAGGTAGACCAGAAGATCACCAGCTGATCACCACTGGTGATGCTCTATACACCGGCCGTGCCAATATTTCTCGGGAAAACGTCGCCGAGTACCGGAACAAACTTGTGTCTGAAGTCGAGTCTTTGCTGAACAAAGTCTCGGATTGGGGGCGACTAAATCTAGTCCAGTTTAATCCTCAGAAGATAAGTTTGCGCGTTTACCGTTTCAAGACACTCCCCTTCTTGCCTCAGCCAGTATCGGTATCCTCGGAGTCGACATATCGAGTGACGTGCAGTTTCGTGGTCACTTGGAAGAGAAGGCCAAATAGGCCTCTAAAAAGCTTGGCGTGCTCAGCAGAGCGGGACAGTATTTCATACCGGCACACCGCCTGCAAGGCGCAGGTTCGGCGTCACCTGGAATACTGTTCCCATCTCTGGGCAGGGGCCCCCCAGTGCCAGCTCCTTCCACTTGACCGCATCCAGCGCAGAGCGGCTCGACGTCGACGTCGTCGACGACCGAGCCCTTTCCGATCGGCTCGATTCATTGGCACTGCGAAGAGATATTGCATCCCTTTGCATTTTCTTTCGCATCTACCATGGGGAGTGCTCTGAGGAATTGTTCGGATTAATCCCAGCCGCCAAATTTCACGAACGCACATCGCGGCAGAACTCCCGATACCATCCACACCATCTGGATGATTGGCGGTCCACCACTGTGCGATTTAGAAGATGTTTTCTTCCTCGCACGACTTCTTTGTGGAATCGATTACCATCAGCGATTTTTCCGGACCGATACGACTTAGGGACCTTCAAGAAAAGAGCGTACTCCTTTTTAAAAGGCCGGCAACGCATCTGCAATTCCCTCCCTGGTGTTGCAGTTGTTCATGGGCGGCGGTAGTCACTTACCATCAGGTGAGCCGCATGCTCGTTTGCCCCTCTCCTATAAAAAAAAATAACTCTTATTTACAAATTATTTAAATAAAATAAAAATATATTTATATAATTGGTGTAACCAAAATATTATTTTCTATTTCTATACTACCCGTCAATATGAATAACTTTAACCATAGATCTATTTTCGAAATCGCAAAAAAAAATCAGATCTTGCATACATTTTGAACGAGTTTGTACAAAATTTTGTATGGAATAGATGACTTTGAGATTTCGAAGTTGATCCCATAATAAAAATTATTCATGTTGAGGGGCAGAATCCATTCCCTAAGTTATTGAGCACTATTTTGTTACATCTCATATGCTTAGTATATAAGGTAGGGGAAAATGTTCCTTCGTATTTTATATACAAATTCAAGACATTTTTGTTTCAAAGTTTAATTACATTTAATTATAATATATATGTTTCATTTTGTTCGATAAATTGTTGCCATCTTGTAGGTTCAAAGACCTAACTAATCATGTGGTTTGGCGTTATCATGATGAAAAACTACTCCTTTTCTGTTGATCAATTCCGGCTGTTTTTTCTCAATTTCTTGCTTGAGTCTCATTATTTGTTGGCAGTAGAGATCCGAATCGATGGTTTTGCCCGACGGTAACAGTCTATAAACAAAACACACACACATATCATTATACAGAAAAAATCACATTTCTTGTATGGTCCTCATACAAAAAAAAATTTTTTTAAGCCCTTTAATATTTTATTTTATTTTAATTATTTGTTGTTATAGTAGCAATAGAAATACACACATTGTATCAAAATTTCAAGTATCTGCCTATTACGGTTCATAAGATACAGCCTGCTGACAGACAGACGGACGGACCGTGGAGGCTTGGGTCCCGATGAACTCTTAATAAATCCCCTTTAAGGTACACTAATAAACGAAAATACAGTTTTAATAGTAAAATAATAAAACAACAGGTTATTTGAGCTATATTACAAAAATAAACAACTATACAAATAAATTAAATTGAAGTGTCTGTTTGTAGTGTCAAAATTAGGGCTTTTTACTAAATGCATATGAAAATATATACGATACTTATAACAAAACCACAATTTTTAAAATTTTTGTCTGTCTGTTTGTTCCGGCTAATCTCTGAAACGGCTGGACCGATTTTGACGGGACTCACAGGCAGATAGCTGATGTCATAAGGAGTACTTAGAAGAACTTAGGCTACTTTTATTTTAGAAAAAGAATTAGGATTCCGCGCAGTACTTTTATTTTAGATAAAGAATTAGGATTCCGCGCCGAAAAACTAAAACCACGCGGGCGAAGCCGCGAGGATCAGCTAGTTAAATAATATAGAACTAGGTTATATTATAATAACTTATATAGGTATATTATACATAGGCTGCACTAAAAGTATCGGGAATGGAATATTTCCACTGTTCCTGTCATATTAAAATCATTTTAATTGATAAGTCCTTGGTTTTTTAAAATTGAATACCATTTATTTATTTAAAAAAAGATTCTCGGTCTTGTCACAAGGTTTTGTCAAACTTGTTTAGTCGTTGATAAAATGGAATTGACTCGAGAAAATTCAAGAGCGATGATTTATTATTACTTTCAAAGTGGTTTAACACAAAAACAGTGTGTTGACCGGATGATTTCTGCATTTGGTGATGAAGCTCCATCCAAAACCACAATTTATCGCTGGTTTGCCGAATTTCAACGTGGACGTGT